CCTACCCATGGGTGGCTAGACCCCATCCACACAAAAACATCCTCCTATACACCACAGTCCTTGTTATCCACACACACCTACTGCCACAAACTATTACTACTCTTACCTCTCCTCTAACCTTAACAGAAAGGGAAACATAACCCCTACTCATCATGGACACAGACGTCCCCACAGAAAATAATATACTCCACCCTTTGCAAATATAGATTTCAATAGCTTTGTTGTCAGGATTGTGTATGCAGTTTGCCAAAGTTAATACGTATCCCCATGCTCTCGCCCCTAAACTTCCACACCTTCCTGTATGCCCCTGAAACTCCAGCACCAATTGCACCCCTGGAACCAATGTGTTTCCCTTCTCTTCTGGCAGGCTTATGGATTTGTTTGCTGCTGTTTGTTTTTTAAATTATTATGGAATATAGAGCAGGAGCTTTGGTATAAGTAAGGTATAATTGTGGGATTTTTTTGGACTAAGTTGTGGGCTCAGCACACTTGTAGTCATTCTTATTTCATCTGGCAATGAGTTCCATAGTCTTGGCACAGTTCCTATGAAGTGTCTGTCTCCTGTGGTCATGAGTCTCCCTCTGTTGGTCAAGTGCTTCATTGTTCCAGTGGGATGTAACGATCATGGGAGTTTGTGATCACACACAGAGGGAAATGGTCTATTGTGTAGCTAGAACCAGTTTCACGCATGGATTTGAAAAATTAGGAAAAGGATCCTGAGTTGGACTCTGCGTTCAATGGAGAATCAATGCAGACAGTATTGAATCAGGATGATGTTTTCCTGGCATGCTTTGTTGCTGACCAAGTGGGCTTGCTGAGCCCTGAAGTTGCTAGGGTGTTTTGCAGGACATGGGATTCCTGGTTATAGTGGGCCAGATTCTCAGCTGGTGTAAGTCAGCAAAACTACATTGGCTTCAGTGCTAGCTGAGGTCCTGGCCCACAGAATTGCAATAGTCAAGCTGTGGTGTTATGTTTGAGCTGATCACAGTAGCCACATCTTTGCCTGATCATACCAGACTCCATCTTCTGACAGATGGAATGCTGCAGATGGAAATAGGCACTGTGCTATGCTTGGATGCTCCGATAACCACAGTGAAAAATGCTGCCCAAGAAGACCCCGGGGCTGCAGATCAATTTTAACAATCTGAGAACATATGCCTCAAATGGATAGGATTGTTATGGAGAAAAAGACTTCCTCAGTGTTTCCCTCTTGCCTTCAGCATTGCCTCAGTCTTCAACTTCAGCCGGATGCTCTTCTTTCAGGTACACTGAGATGGTGCTCTTCACCTTTGCAATTCACCTCTCTGTCCCCAACATTTCTCTGCCCTACATACAGCCTGTCACCTTCATATTCAATTTAGCCATCTCTCCCTACTCCCTCCACAAAAACACATCTTCTAACCCCGTACAAACACCTATACTGCTCCTCACACCCCTTATGCCAAAACAACCAGACCCCACATTCAGATCTGTTGCAACCCCATCACACACATCTCTCCCAATAGCCTCCCCAATACATATACAAACAGCATTGCTCACACACACACACACACCTTTATAACGTTTGCCCAGACACAAGCCCCTCAATAACCACAGGCTCTTACACAGCTCATCTACTCCTGCATGTCCCCAAACTTACTACCATCTCCCTGCCCTAGTACACACTTCTCTCTAAAGCTCTCTGCTGATAATCTAAACACCACCTCCTACGCAATCCCCACGTACCCACACATCCCCAACCCAATCCACAAACAGTAACCACATCTACCAATCCCCCCCAACACGTCATCTGGGTCCACCTGCAACAAGAATTCATCTACCCTTCCCATACCCTCTCCCCTACACCAGACACACTCAAAAACTACTCACAGTGCCACGCACGCATATGTATTCTCCCACACCCTTACACAACATCCTCTACCCCTACATCCATACTGCCCTGCATTTACCCCAGACTCCCCGCCCCCCACACTCATTCCTATTCCTCACCACACACACTCCATCTCCCTGCGTGCCTACTCCCACGCACCCCTACACTATCCATGCACCCTCACACATCCTGACCCTCTTCCCTCCCCACCACAACTTTCTTATCCTTCCTTGAATTGCCCTTTCCTACACTCATAAACATCCATAATGTCCCTCCCCACTCTCATGCCATAACCTGTTACCATCCCTCCATACTTCCCAAAGAGACAACCCTATTCCTGAACCCTTCACACAAATACACTGGCCTTCTCATCACTCACTCGTTAACTATTTCCAACATCCCCTTTCCTCTTCCCCTGCATGTAACCTATGCCCCTACCAACACCCCTTGCCTTCCCATAATACCACACGCTCTACTCCCACTCCTGACTCCCCTCAGATTTATACCCTTTACTACCCCTCCACATAGCCAGCCCTCCCACTCCCTCTGCTCCCCACACCTTATAGCCCCCACCTCCATAGTGCCAATACATAATTAGAGGCCCTTTCTCTGCTAATTCCCTTTCCCTCACATCCCTTTACCTGGCCCCACCTTTCTCCCATCACACCCACACCTTATGCCTCAATCCCCCTTCAGACAATCACACTCCCCTTACCCAGCCCTGACTTCACACTGACCTCCCCCAACACATACAACTCTATAGCCATCCCTTTCGTCACACCTTGCCCTCATGTGCCTTACATTCCTCCATACCACACTCCCCTCCTCCACAAATGCTTCCTACCTCCCCACAAATATGCATCTTTTCCCACTTCTGCCCAAGCCCCTTATGCACCTCACACCTATTACCTCACTCCTTACATGCCCCTTATGCACCTCACACCTATTACCTCACTCCTTACATGCCCATGATTTTATATACCCCTGCACTTTGCTCGCCCTTCTCCTACAATGTTTCTCACTTCCATACCCCATCTCTCCTCTAAAACTACATCTTGCGTTTGTGCCCCTCACCTGTCCTTCACATGAACCCCATGCATTCCCCCATCTACACCCCCTTTACATCTCCCCATCCTCCCACCTACATCCACATGCCTCAAACCCCACCACATCTTTCTTTACCCTCCCTTCACACTTCACCCCCCCCATTCCCATTAGCTCACCCCCCTTCCAATCCCCACTCCGACCTTTTACTCCAACCTGCCTCACAACCACACACTATAACTTCTCCTGGCTCAACCAGCCTCCTGACCTCCCTCACCCATGACCCCTGGCCACCTGCCCTGCAGACTCTGGTCTCTTCCTTCCCCATACACCTTTGCAGTTCCCTTGATCTTCCCCCACACTCACCCACCATCCCTGCCCTGCATACCCTTTCCTCTCCAGCCCCCCACTGCCGGAGGTGCTCTCTGCTTCCACAGGGCCCCTACCTTCCATACCCAGACTCCTCCCCCCTCACCTCCTCCTCGACAGAATCCTACAGGCCTCATTTTAGACCCCACACAGGCATTCCTTGGCTGCCTGTCCTCCCCAAACACACAGCCTTGTGCCCTTTCCCCCTCCACTCATACATCCCCCCCCCACCAACCCCACACACCCCCAACCCTGTCCCCAGTCCACACCCTTTCTCCTCTCTCTCTATCCCCCACCCCCCACGTGTTTACTTTCCCTTACGGTCTCCCAAACACACCCGTGATTTCCCACCCACCCAGCTACGTTCCCCCTTGCACCCCTCACCTGTCATGTGCACCAAACACACAGCCTTCCCTCTCCTCTGTCATAATCCTTTCACCCCCACACCCCTGGTCTTTCCCCTTTGCACACACTCCACTTAATCCCCCCAGCAAAAAAACCCTACATCCCTAACCTCAACCGTAGCAGCCTACCATGCCACGCACCCCTTCCCCAGCCCCACTTCCCTACACACTTTCCCACATTTATACCTATCTTCCCCCCTCGCCCCCTTTCTCTCGCACACCCAGCGCTCCTGATACTGACACGTGTGTATCCGAGACCAGCCTTCGTACTACAAGCAGCTGGAATCACTCCTCACTCGCTTGCCTCTCGGCTGCTTTTGTCCATTGTGCCATAAGCGTGGGGACTGGGGTTGTTTTACGTCGGCTGTTGCTGACACCTTTGGCAGGAGTTGCAGTCTGTCACCCTTCACTTTCTTATACACAGAGCAGGTATGGCTGAGCCTGGGAGGGCTGTCTTTTGTCAGGGCACTTGTCGGTAGGCACAGCGTTAGGGCAAACTTCGCACGCTATCTGCACGCTTCACGCGAGCCTAGCAGCAAAGGGGACTTTCTCTGAGAGCTTATAGGAACAGAGCGGAGCAAATCTCGCACATCCCTGTCTATTGAGACGGTTCTCGTCTCTACATCACTGGTTTGCAATATGGGAATCAGACAATGCCCTCGTAGTAGCCTAATTCAACCCCAACTGTTCCTCTCTCTAGATACAGCATATTTCTAGAGCAAGAGAGAAGGGAAATGCTTGTTTTAATGAAGGATTAAGAACTGATTGGAGAACTATCTGAGCCATTCAAGGATACACCACCACCACTACTACTACTATCCCTTGGCTAAGAGCAGTTGGGTGTCCCCCCCCTCCCAAAAAAAAACAACAACAAACCAAAATCAAAAAACACCCAGCCCTCGCCAGTAACTGACTTTCTAAGCTTCGATTCAGCTGTTTGGTCGAGAAGCCGCTTTTATTTCCCTCTCTGTGCGTGTGTGGCTGCCTGCTACATTCCTAGAAGGCACTTTCCAAAGACTGGAAATCGTACAGCGTCGGAATACGTTTCCTGCCTTGCAAGTGAATGTATCAGTTCACCTAGACACAGATGTGCAGATAATCCTTTGATCTCCAGTCCCTTCCAGAGAATTTAGTGGTTGGGTTTGAAGGGAATGTGGGGGTAGTTTTAAAGGTCATGCATAGGCGCTCTGTGTCTGGCACAAGAAAAAGCACCAACGAAGTTAGTTACCTGAGAGAGGCGAGGTCTAGAAACTGGGAATTCTGACTTTGCTTGTCATGGGCTCTACCTTTCCCTCGGGGCAAGTGTGCTGAAGCTGATTTCTTGCATTCCCCGCTCAGGCTTTGCAACCCTTTTGTTATATCTGAAGGTGCTGGTTTCTCTCTTAAAATAAAGCCACGAGTCTTCTTTGCTTTTGCCTCTTAAATCGGATTCCTTTAGCACCTCATAGTTCCCCCCGGCTGCTTCCCTGCCGCGGACCTGAACTGCCGGCTGTGGAGAACAGCGAGAGAGGAGTCTCCAGACTAAAGAAAGGTCTGGGGGTGAATGCACTGAAACAGGCTCTAGAGGTTGGGACAGATCTTTCAACAAGACCCCCCTCGTTTCAGATTGTAAAGACCCCCCCTCCCTTCACGACCCTATTAGAAAATATCATCTTTCCCTTACCGTGGTAGGAGTAACCATGGCATCCGTGTGAATGTTTCCAGAAAAGTCGACATGAAGAGAGAGGTTGATGTAAATATGTTCATTCAAAGTCCCAAAGTTGGTTTGCTTGGGCTGTGCAGAGTTGCTCTATGGGAGAGGAGCCTTAAACTCTGAGTCCCGTGAACATAATCTGCTCGATTATAACAAACCAGCTCAGCCAGATGGCTCTGTGCTCTGCGGATTAACCCCTTTATTGCCACACGCTGCCTTCCCTACCTACCCTTTCCAATAACGCTGCCTGGTTGGGAAAGTCAGCGAATGAAGCCCTTGTTTTAATTTGCAAACGAACAAGCCCCCATAAAGGTAGTTCCCCCGTGTGCGTTTTAAAGAAGCACAATTTAAAAGACTTGTTGATCATTTTATCCCCCTCCTAACAGGATCTCCTCCTATTAAGAACAGTGTCAGCACCAGGGAACACTTTACAGAATTCCTTTGTTAAATCATAAATATCTCTTTGTAAATACGATTCTCAGAAGAGAAGTATTTTATAGCCCAAATGTCTATGCATTAGCACTGTAATGGTCCACCCTCTCTCCAGCGCGCACACACCCTGGTCAAACTGTTTACATGTGTTGCTATTCTTACCCACGTTCAGAAGTCATTAAAGGGCACATAAAACAGGTGAAAAAGAAAAGCAGAAGGAAGTACATTCTAATAAGCCTCTCTCTCCCCCCCCCTTTTTTTTATTTAACTCCAAATTTTAAACCTGCTGGGTTGGTTGGTCGGTTAGCATTTTTGTCAGCCAAGTGTCCCCCCCAATTTGGAAGCAATATTCGTTTGTAAGAAGAGAACCCAGGGGTGGATTCGTGGCCAGATATTCCTCACGTTTTGATTTGTAGATTAGTCCATTAAGAAAAGGACGGGGCGGGGGGGTGCCAAAAACATGGAAAGTTCATCAGCCGTCAGCAGTGACTGGTTTCCAAACTTTTTTATTTAGAGTGATCGCTCACAGCGATCGTTGATAATTTTAGCTGCGTGCCTCTAATAGTCTCTCTCTCTAAATTTAAATGCTTATGTCATCTTTCTTTTCTGTTTGATTCAAGTATAATTTGAGCAAGTCATAACCCAAATCAAGGGGGCACACAGAACCGTTTGTATGGCGCGCACACTCTTCTGGGGAAGACATTTCCTTCAAGAATCTCAGTTCTATGAGATAATGTGGTTTATATTATTTCCTTATTCAATCAAACTAGTTTCCTCCTTGTTTTGTATAGTGTCACTTCACCCCTCATGCCCTCAGAGCATCTTTCTACCCCCCTTTGAACCTTTAAATCTAGCTGGAGGTTTGTCACGTTTTAGGGATCTATTTTCAGCTGTAAATTGAAAGGTTTTTTTAAAAAAATATTACTATCATCATCGGTAAAATAACACCATTGGGGACCTCTGTACTATACACAGTGTACCTGTCTTATATCATCATCACTGCCTGAGCTGATTGTCACATCTGAATGCCCAGGCTCAGAAGGAAAAAGTGCAATCTTCCACCGATGCCTCCTAAGAATATTCTTCTAAAATTTGCTGCTCTCACAATCCACACGTAGCTTAAAGGCTGAGCAACTCTAACGCGTTTTCTTCTTCACACTTTGCCTGTCTGCAGAACTTCCATCAAGACTTTTTATTTTTTAGAGCCTTTGTAACAAAAAGTGGAGTCAGATGTAAATTCTCTTCCCCCTCATACACACAGTGCAGTCAGACCTGGGTGCCTTTTTAATCTCCTGAAGAGCCAGCAATAGAAATCTTTCCTGTGGCAGGCCAGTATTATGCTCCAGCAGCAGCAGTCAAAGGGTTAAGTTTTTGAAGACAGCCCAGAGCCGGGAACTTCGCTATTGCAGCCAGTCCAGCAAAAAGAAGGGAAACAAGTAGGCTACAAGTAAATGATTTCTGCATAGAGGGGCTGGCTACCTCTGATGGGAGGTAAACCAACCAGAACCATGCATTGTGCACAATTTGAGGGGTTTTGCTCTGTACTTGTGTCTGCATGCCAGCAACACGCCTTGTAATTTGAGATGTGACACCTTAATCTTGCCAAATATGTGTGCTCTGTAAAAAGCATTGTAGACGGGGTATTTATTTTCACAGCTAGAGGAAGCGAAGATATGTTCATTACTTTCAGTTTCCCAAACTTCCTCTTAAATGGTTCAAAACTATTCCTGATTTTTCTATCCACTTTTACACGTGTTTATCTTCATTTATTCTACATTTTCATCATAATCCTTAGAACTACAAGTGGCTCTTCTACAACTTTCAATATTATGTAAAACTATTGCTAATAGAGTCAGAGTAGAATGTTTACATATGAAAATGATTGATTTGTTTTAAAAGTAACCATCATGTCAGAAGTACTGACATGGTAATACTTTATGAAATTGATACTCAGTTCAGTCCTTAAAAATAAATGAGATTACTTTGAAAACTTACAAATATTACTATGTACATGCCATGGAAAGTAATTATGATATTTATTTTGTGGTTTTAAATTGTGCTGATCACTAAAGCATTGATCTGTTCATTTTAGGCCTGGGTGAGCCTTCAAACATTTACACACACATATACAGAAACTATTTTTAAACATATATCTCTAGCTATTTAATTTTGGTATTACACAGTAAAATAGTATATTTATTATGACATTTATATACATATGAGATGCACTTTAGTAAATAAAAGGGTAGCTAAAGTCAATATTTCATTGGGTTTACCTACATCTTGGGTGATTAGAAAAGGAGGGAATTAGGGTTTGCCCACTAACTGTTAGCTTTTGCAATAGCGCCACTTTGTGGTTGAAATACTGAATAGAAATGTAAAGGTGTGGAAAGATATGTGTTCATATGTATGCTACATGTATTTCAGCAAATTTGTGGTGTTTCCATAGTAGCATTGATACACACTGACAAAAACAACAAGCTGCAATGGAAATGTGTTACAATACGTTTAATGATCCATTTTATTAAAAGGTAGTTTTGATTCCAAAGTAAATAAGAGAAAACAAAGAAATGGTATCTCCCTATTTTTCCATATTGCCTTAACTTATTTTTTTCCTTTTACTCATCAACTTGTTTAAGTAAAAACTGAAGTTCAGGAGATTTTTTTCTTTCAAACATCAACATCACTTTGAAAACTCTGTGAAGTAAACAAAAAGACGTTCAGTAAAGATTTTTCTGTGGCGTGAAAATGAGACTGAATGTTTTTTTACAACTAGGAAAAGTGGTGGTGGTGCGGAATCGGGTTAGATTGTTTAAAAGAAATGCTAGGATGTAAGCTAACTAATGTGTTTGGATTTGTGTCCACTCATATCAGGGCTAAATATGTAGACATAGGGTGTGTCTACACTGGGAATTTTCAGCACCGCCCCCCTCCCGGTTCGCATTATCTGCAATAATGCTACCTGTAGACTTCCAGTAATGTTACAATAGAAAAAAAGGAAGAAAACTATCCAATTAAAATGGCAGGAAGAATTTAAACAGGCAAAAGTGCCTACATAAATTGGAATTTGTACATTTTTAATTACTCAAGGTAGTCTAGAAGATTCAGAGTCAGACATTACATACATTTTACCTGAAAGACACTATTTCTAGTAGCACAATATCCCCTAACATTGTGGCCTTGATTTTAATGCAGAATTCCTCATTGAAATCCAACTGAGAAGTTTGCTGAAATATCTATGGCTTGATTTTGAGCCACCATGCTGTGGGGCTCGATCAGCACTGACTTCATGCTCCCTACTGAAAAGCTACCTATGGCAGTTCTGCTTACTGAAACACTAACACCACTTCCTCCAGTAAGTAGTTGGTCCTTCGTGGTTTCATGTACAATGGCTGACCAGGCCTAATCCTGCTTAGATTGTAAAATCTAATGGGATCCCAGTATTTGTGTCAGGAAAGCTTAAAAGAGAATGAAATGCAAAACATTACCTCAATGCAATTTTAAGTTTAAAAACCTAAACACAAAAAATCAGACAATTCCAGAGCTTAGATTCCCAAAACTTTGCTCATTTGGCTACATTGCCTGAACTATCCATGTTGTTTTTAAAGGCATTAACAATCATCAACATGATTAGTGCACTTGTGTAATGTGAGAAATTTAATGTTGCTCCAGATTCAGGGAAGTCTAAGTGTTATCATTTCCTGACTTCAGTGTGTTTACATGTTCAGCTTTAATGTTGAATTAAAGTGGTGGTTGGGTTTGTAATATCCTTAAAAAAATGAGAGCGAAAGAGAGAGAGAAGAGGCAGGGGAGGAGAAAAAATAAAAATACTAAGTAAAACAATTTCACCCCAAACTATGGCATTTAAATAGTCTTTGCAAGCAGCAGACAAGTTGGGTAAAAGTGGAACTGCAGTTGGGCAATGGAATTTTTCATAATCAATTCACTTTTTTTTGCATTCAATTATGTATGTTAGAGTAGACTGAATCTTGATCCCGAATACAGTCAATGCCACATGTTTAATACAAGGAGTCAATCATTTGAAGTCAATGGGACAACTCCCAGTACTGAATGACGTATCCTGTAGTAAATGCTTGTGCAATCCAGTCCTGTAATTTTAATTGCATATTTACACATTTTGCTTAACTGACTCTGCTGGCAGACTACTTGCTTCAGTTTTTGAATTCTGCAAAAGCTTTCATGTGAAATCCCATCTGCTGGGGAAGGGGCAGCAGGCACAGTGCAGATCGAATTTCAGAACGGAAAGATCTACTACAACTACTGCATGTGCACAGACATATAATTTTAAATTATTATGGGCCAAATTCTACTCCCAGTGAAATCAGTGATCCCATGATTTGACCCTACAATTTAAAAAAATTGAAACGTAGCAAGTGTGCTAGACCTAGCCATACGTATCAATCTTACAAGCCCGCCACATGCAAAACGTACTGATTTCAATAGGACTTCCCTGGGCAGAGGGCTTGCAGGAACATTGCCCAGATTTGAAGTTTTAGCATTCATTCATTTTTCAAGATATGCTAGAAAAGGTCCTGATTCAGCAGGTACTGAAGCATGTGCCCAACTTTAAACACATGAAGTCAATGGGACTGATCAAGTGCTTAAAGTTAAACATGTGCCTAAGTACCTTGCTTAACTGTGGTCAAAAAAAACCCAACAACACTTAAATTGACAAGAATCAGGGGGTAGCCGTGTTAGTCTGTATCCACAAAAACAACAAGGAGTCCAGTGGTACCTTAAAGACTAAAAGATTTATTTGGGCATAGGCTTTCGTGGGTAAGAAGTGGGTTTTTTACCCACGAAAGCTTATGCCCAAATAAATCTTAGTCAGTCTTTATGGTGCCACTGGACTCCTTGTTGTTTAAATTGACAAGGTATTTTTGTTTCCCCACTTATTTCACAAAAATCTAGCTGAACCAATTTTTCCTCAGAATCCACCTCTGACCATCCTCCCAAATTTATTTAGCTGGAGACCAAGCATATGAAGTTTCACCTCAAAGGTAAACTTGTAAAAGAAAATTAGAAGGAATAAGAAAGAGGAATTTAGAATGGCAGTGCCCTTCTCAATCTAAACGATAGTATTTTCTACCAGGGTTGCTAGATAGTGATTGAAATGACAAAAAATTACAAACTGCTTGATTCTGATTTTTATGTGAAAAAGGAGAATTACTGGAAAAAGCCAGTGTATTATTATTACTTACTATTGAATAACGACTGTGCTTGGTGCTGTACAAGATGTAGTTCTTGCCCACTTGAAGTTTATAATAACTATAGCCCTAAACAACGTATCTCTTTGCTCATGCTGATTACTGCTCTGTTAGTTGGTTGTGGCAGATCTCTGCTAAATATGGTCACTGTTTCACCCACACTTATGACCATGTGAAGGCTTCTACTCACATGTTTTGTTGTCTGTCATGTGCCTCATTCCAGTCGTGCAATCTAGCCATTTCTTTATCAAGCATAACAAGGACCAGAATAGTAACTGAGGTTAGTATCCTGTGAGGAAGGAGAGGGAGAAACTCTGATGTGTGGAGTGCTACAGAGTGTTTATTACAACAAGATAGGGATGGTCATACATTGCTCACAAGTGGCAAAGCCCAATGCATGACTCATACAAATTTTCCAAAACAAATAACAATAGAAAACTTTATGGGGCCCTTCACGTTGTCACACCATAAGGTTATCGTGCACATGTCAAGCTTTGTCTGACATTTATCCATCTTAGAGTTCCCCTACTCTTCCCCCCCCCCCCAACCTCAAGTGCTTATTTTGAAAAACCCAGTGCCATGGGTTTGGAAATCTAGAAGTATATTATAAAGGCAGGATTCAGTCCTGCAACCCTTACTTATGTGACTTTCCATTGACATCAGTGGAAATAGTCCTATGACTATGAGACAAAGGAGTGCATCTTTAATTTATATAATGGTGTGAAATATAGGAGTTAAGGATG